TTGGTATATATTTTGCTGTGTATATTCTCAACAGCAAAATAAATAAAACTTAGAAAATAAATAAATAAATCTAAAGAAACTATTAAGGTGAGAATTTAGGACCTTTCCTCTAGTTTATTTGTTTTTAAGGTTCTATTATCATCTATACTAACACAGCTTAAGATAAGTACATTTAAAAAGTAAAATTTAATCAACTAATATTTATTTGCAGCAACAATTTTTTTAAAACATGGCTGCCATATAAGCAAAAATCTTCAAATGATTAGTTAAACCAGTGCAGAAAAAGTAAGGAATGCTAGTATAAACATTCATTGTGTTTTTTATGGAGTCCTATTGTCCTGCCTTTCAGCTAAAATTTTTTAAAACTAAAAATTCTCACATATAACTTCATGAGACACGACTAACAATGATTTATTGGGAATCCAATAAATTAGAGGTTATTTGCAAGGATCACAGGATCATGTAAAATTTAATGAATCTGAAAATAATTTGACAGTCACCGAAACGGTCAGGATCATACAGCTGTCAGAAGTGGTATGACAAATTATGTCTTAAATAACAGTGACTAAAGTTAGTACAAGTTCAAACTGTGTAGGTCTTCTCTATAAGAATGCTTTGACAAGTAAATAAAAAGTAAACATGAAAACCACTTAAAAAAGCTAGTATTCACACAGCCCTAAAACTGTGGTATAAAAATGTAAAAGCAGCTATATCTATTGCATGTATCTGTTTAAAGTGAAATAAAAAAGAATATATAAAATTTAATAATGTTGCGCTAATAACGCAACAGTATATGGAAATTATTTCCAGCGTAAGAAGAGTCCAATCTGTCCTTTTTTTCCTCTCCTTCTCAAAAATCCAAATGCCTTAAAAAGTCTTTAGATTAGTATAAATAAAAATATATATTTAAATGAAAAATAACTGATAAGGATGTGGGCTTGATTAATTAGTTTCAACAACTTTATAAAAAATTTTCCATCAAAACGAGAATATTGTAAGGCTATAAAACATGAGATTCACAAATTAATGGAAAACTGTTTTTTTGGGTGGCAGAGAGAGATGGGGTACAGATATGTATATAATCTCTAAACATCTTAGTGAGGCAGCACTGAACAGTATAAAGAAATTAGGTGTTGGAGTCAGCCTGACCTGGATTCAAATTCTGGTTGAGTGATTTATCTAACTTTGTGACCTCGGCAACCTACTTCATGTCTCCCTACTTCATGTCTCTGATTCTCAGTTTCGTCTGTAAAGGGTGCTCAGGAGATAATATAATGATAATATATATAAAGGGTTCGGCACAAGCATGAGTTGGATAAATACAAGTTCCTCTTTTTCCCTTGGAAAATCATCTACTTACATAGTTACTGATGAGGGGTATACTAATTCAAAAGCATTACGAGTCTCCTTTGAGGGAAGAACTTAACATTTTTGCCTAGAAAACACAAAGCTCTAAAAATACAGGCTTTCACAACAATTAGCAACCTCAAATTATTATTTTTTAAAATACATAACTGGAGGATAGTTTTAAGAAAACTACTAGAAAATGAATAAATATAAACATTTCTTATTTAACAAATACTTACTGAGCTCTCACCATATGCTAAGCATTATTGTACATGCTAGGACTATAGCCATGAATCAATCTGATGAAGTCCCAGTTTTTACAGAATTTATATTCTAGTTATAAAACATAAGCTAGTATTTTAGAAGGAGGAGGATGTGTTCTCAGAGTCCTGTCTAATGTAAGAACTAATTACAGTAATACATCTTTTTACTTTTTTCTGGAGATTTTATGGTAGATGGAGCTTTCTAGGCCATTATTCTTTTGGGGTCACAGACTCCTTTGAGAAGCTGATGAAAAGCACAGACCTACTCATCACTAAAGAATGCAGATATATACACATAAACAAATTTTCAAATAATTCCTGAGGATTCACAAGCTCCCTGATTAAGAATCTCTGCTAGATTCTTTTCCATAGATTTTGAATTTAAAAGTTGGGAAATTATCGATACTGCTTGTACTAAGACAACTGAACACGTTCCAAAAAGTTGTATGAAAAAACAAATCTAGTAAACAAGTAAGAAGAGTGCCCTAAATACTGAACTTTCTGGAGATCCTGAAGGTGAGTTAATTTATTACTTTAATCAACTCAGTTTTTTAAAATACATTCATTATCCAAAATACTTTTTTTTAAATATAAGAAAAATGAATGAATCCTGATTTCTAATTACTTATAAGCATTTATAGGAGAACCACCTCTATTTATCCTCTGACACGAACTGGAAGTTTTAGAGTTCTAAATAAATCTCTGATTAACCTTGACTAGCATTTTGTTTTGTCTTATATCTAAGTTAACACTACTTAATTTTTATAGTACTTCCCAACTTTCTCCTCTTCTGTATTTCAACAACACTTTTGTCCTTCCCATTCCTCAAGTTAACTATCAGCTCCTGCCACTCTACTTCCTGGCAACACCTTCCACATTGTCAGATCTGATGAAATCAAGAAGCATCTACGGAGCACATCAGTGCCTAACTCCTTGCTATACTGGGTCTAGTTAAGAGCTAAGAATTTAATTAAATGTTTATTTTTTTCTTCATTCTTTCTGCTTCTTTAGTATTTTTTAAAGAACATTTCTGCTGCTTGTGATTATAGCTCAACATCTTTCTAAGACACTGATTATACTGAAGGGGTTCAGTAATGTTTCTCAAAGTATGATTCTGGGCTGCAAAGCCATTTTTTATAATAAACAGGACAGTGTCGTTAATCCACATCTCTCTACCAATAATGAGCTTACACGTGTCATTTGATGTCTGTGTTATTTCACAACTACTTGACCTCCAGCATTTCTCTAATCCTGCACGTGTTTCCAAAGAGTAAAATGTCACAGATATTGCTCTGATTCTATCACTCTTAGGCTCACATCATGTAGTAGTTTCTCACTTTAAAGTTCAAAAGATCTCTCCAGTCTCTTCACAAATACTTCCGCAGCCTAAATTCTTATTTCTCACAGCAGTTTTCTGCCGCAGCCGAAGTAACATCCTTTCTTTCAAAAACATCTTATACTGTGTTCTTGCCTCTCCCATCCACTTGAAATGTCATTTTCCTCACCCTATTTCTACCATTCCATCATTCTTCAACTATCTTTTCTCTAAAAATCTTTCCTGGACTTTCCCTCTTGAGCTGAATTTTCACAGTGATCACTGTAAAAATCACATGGCAATTGGCCACATTCTATACTTTGTCATTTCTTTTATTCTTTACTGAACTATGTGCAGCATTTTTATTAAACTTGTGTTTACAACCACATTGTAAGCTGTGATGAGAGTAAGGATGGGACCGGACCATGTCTTCTGTTTTATAGTCTCTTCCCTTCATCAATTCACTACATGGTAGGCTGTCAGTGTTAACATCTGCTGATGTTAACAGAAAGCATATATATAAAGGTAATTAAGTATTAAAAAACTCGCTGCAGTCAAGTCGATTCTGACTCACATCATCCTTACAGGAGAAAGAAGAACTGCCCCATAGGGTTTCCAAGGAGCAGCTGGTGGATTCAAACTGCCAACCATTTCTGGTTAGCAGCCAAGCACCGAGCACTTAACCACTACACCACCAGGGCTCCATTATATATACATATACATGCACACATACATATACATGTCCTTAATTTATATAGCCATATAATAATCATATTTAGGCAAGTTTATATCCTGAGCATTTCCCCTCCTTTTCATGGTGCTGTTGCCTACTTATCCACGGTGCAGGCAGCTACTATGTCTAATTATTTTCTATTAAAGAAAGTTTAAAAGTCATCCTTGGTATATGTTAAACAGAAATTTAGGGTTATTAAAAAATTTCAAAATCTGATTTGGAGTAAAAGCAACCCACTTTCTTGAGAAACCAAGAAATTCAGCAAGGTATAATGAAATACAGCATTGCATTTTGAAATACATGAGGAAATGGAGTACTTCTATCACTAACAATGAATCAATAACTATCTTCTCATCTTATTTCCTCCAACTATGGTGCTGAATGCTATGTGGAACCCATAATCTAGCTGAAGAGGTAAAACTCTCCTCACTTTACCTCCCAAGTGACCATCACCTTGTTAGTCACATCAGCAGCCCACTGTTTGATTCAGGGTTCTCTGAATGTATCACATATTTATTTTTACTTAATTTTCATAGCCTTGGATATAATTCTTAATACTGTGAGGCACCTGCCACAAAAAAGACTCAAAATCACTGCTCTAGACCAAGATACAGATGTCCAAAAACTTGAAAACTCTAAGAGGAAATACTTAATTGAATTACTAACTTTGAAATTTAAGACAATAAATAAAAAGAGAGAGAGAGAGAAAAAGACACTGTATTGTCTCCTAGTACTGCTACTGAAACAAAACTTACATAGACGAGCAGTGGGCAGCTCATCAGTATTTCTAAGGACAGCATAATAAAAGGTAAGGGGATAAAATGGCTTTGCTCTGACGAAGCACAGCGGGGTACAACAAAAATGGTTACCTCAGTTCAACACTCGCATACAATAATTAGAAAATATTTTTATTTCAATAATACTAGAAAGAAATTATCCATAAGTATATTCAACTGAGCACACAGGGACAGTGAAAGCTCTAGTTTTTAAAATAATTAACTCATTTCCTATTACTAACCTCTGCTGATGGTAATAGCCTGCTGGAGAAGAAATTGAGATATTTAAAAGCACATTCTTGACTCAAAATTAAGATTTAAGGGAGAAGGAAAGGAAAGGCAGACATACAGGGAGGAAATAAGGATAACCCAAATGAGGTCATTTGATGCCCAGAAAGTAACAACATCTCTACCTCCATTTCAAAACATTTCCTTAGAATTTAAATGATTACTTAAAATGAAAAGCAGTAAAAATTTATTACAGACTTCATTATGTGAATGTATCCATATTTAGTATTAGTTTTGTAAAATTATTTAATATGCTTAAGAAATAAAATAAAACTTACCCCATCATTTTCTCTGTGTGGATTCAGTCTACTATAAACAGCTTCAATAACATTGCGCCTAAAAAAAATTATTAGTTTTATTAAATTATATATAATTATTAAACTCATAAGTATTTTAAATAATACTTCATCTTGACTACAATCAAAAATTCATTGCCACATTAAATACTTGCATAAGAACGTAGTTTCTAGATTTCACTCAGAATTTGGTATTGCAAAATCTATTTCTTCTCATTTAACAAGGAAAGAAGACCTTTATCCTCAAAGTATATAACAAATAATTCCTTTTTAAAAAACCTTTTTTAGGATGAAGTTTTAGAATTCTACTTCAGTATAAAAACCATCAATCTATTTCATCTTTAGAGAACCGATGTACTTCTAAGCTTTCTTATCCAAGATTATCTAATTACTAATTATAAATGACCTCAAAATTAGCTCTTTTGTTCTACTTACTTGCCAGCAAGACCTCCTCCAGGAGGCAAATTTGGGATATTTTCTGCAGATAAGATGCGCATGACATGGGCAAGATCAGGCATTCCTTCTTCACCAGACTTCTCCATAATTTCTGTAGGTTAAAAAGAAAACTCCTAAATTAATGTGATAACCCAGTACCCACAAAGAAGCAAAAACATTGGTACAAATTGGTAGTACTTATTTTAAAATGTAAAAATAAACATTACAACAATCACATAAGGAACAAGAAAAAGTAACATAAAAAGTTGTTTGCACATATATATGTTCATTCCAGCATTATTCACAAAAGTAAAAATGAAACAAACACAATGTCCAAAAATAGCGGGACAGTTAAGAAAATGCTGGTACAGTCACTTAGTGAAACAGTTTGCAACCACTAAAAATGATCCCAAAGAACACAGAACAGCTATACAGAAAAACACTGTTGACCTAATTTTAAGGAAAAAATACAAAGTTATTTATACTATAATTAAAAAAAATAGAGGCAATGGATGGATAGGGATTATAAGGAAAAAGGAGGAACATTAAAAATCACTTTCAAAGGTTTTTACGGTAATTAAATGGTTATGTTCAACAATAATTTATTAAGAATAAAAAAGGAAAATAAATCAAAACACTGCTAATGTTTTTTAAAAACAAACAAAAACCTTACATTTTTCTCTTTACAATTTATGGAAAATAGATTTTTAAAGCATGGTTATCTGAACAATGTGTCAAGACATAAACTCAAATTCAAACAGTGGCCACTTGCTTTTAAGACAACAAAAAAGCAGTTTCTGAGTATTTTTACACAAATAACGTGTGTCTTTTGCCAACCAAGCAACTTTCGTAAGCAAGGCATGTTGGACATTATATGTGTGGGCGTGTTATTTGCAAAAAAAAATACAATAAGCAGCTCTCAAGATGCAAAATCAAAATGTTTACCACGTGTCACAAGGTCCTTACTTTGCACTCAACTTTCACCACTCCCCGCCCCGAACTCCATCTCCAGAGGCTCTATTCAAAGACTTGCCTGCTTCTAGATCTTCACATGTATTCTTTTCTTCCCTTGGTTTGGAACACTTCACTTCAATCCAACCAACTCCTTTGTATGGTTAACTCCTAATCATCCTTCAGTTTCAACTTTAAACGTCACTTTCTCAAGGAATCCTTCTCTGATTCAGGCCTAGAGTAGGCACATTGCTCTACATTCCCACTGTACGCAATGTTTACTATATCATAGACTGCAAACTTCATGAAGGCAGGACTGTAATTTTTCTATCTTACACTTGTATCTCTACAGCACGGGGTTTCTCAATCTTGGCACTACTGACATTCTGGACCAGACAATTCTTTGTTGTGGGGGCTGTCCTGTGCACTGCAGGACATTAAGTAGCATCTAACTCACTAGATGCCAGTGGCAATCCTCAGCTGTGACACCGAAAATGTCTCTACATTGTCAAATGTCCCCTGTGGGTAGAGGAGCAAAACCACTGCAGTCAAGCACTGGACCGGCCAATTTTCACACCCTTCCACTAGTGCCATTCTAGTCCAATTCACCACCATGATCTACCACCTACATTAACTCAAGATTCCTAATTGGTCTCTTGGATTCCTCTCCTGTCCCCTCTTAACAATGTCTTCACAAAGCAACTAAGAGAGATCGTTTGGAAAAAAGTCAGATCAAGATATACCTGTGGTCAGAATTTTCTGATGACTTCCCATTTATCACAATTTGAATAAAGTTCAAAGTTCTCATCTGGCCTAAAGAACCCTACATGATCTGCTTCCTAGAAATCTCTTAATCTTCCCCACTTTTGTACAGGGCTCATTCTAATCCACCTACACTTGCTAAGCACATTCTCTCCTCAGTCTTTACTGTCCCTTTTGCCTGGAATGCTCTTCCCCCGGGTACTCACTTTCTCCCATATACAGGTCTCTGCTCAAATGTCCTTCCTCACAGAGAGACCTTCCTGACCAGCATTCCTTACTAATGTCTGCTTAGCCTGTTTTATTTTTCTTCATAGCATTCATTACTACCTGTCATTATAACATATACTATTTTTAAATTATTGGCCTCTATTAGAATGTAAGCTCCCAAGAAAATCAAGGACTTACTTTGTTTTCTGCTACGTCCCTCATGACACACAAGCTCAAAAACACTGAATAAATGAATATGTGCAGAAGGTACTAAATATCTAATTGATCAATTTAGGTTACTTAAAAGAGCCGTGGTGGCGCAGTGGTTAAGCACTTGGCTGCTAACTGAAAGGTGGTTCGAACTTACCAGCTGCTCTGCGGGACAAAGACGTGCGGTACAAAGATACTTCCATAAAGATTACAGCCTTAGAACCCTATGGGGCAGTTCTACTTTGCCTGTAGGGTTGTTATGAGTCATAAATACTACTGCCTGCAACACCACAGCTCCTCTAACTGCCTACTCTCACTAAAAACAGACACTGACTTGCCCAACACACCAGAATGCTTTTACCTCAAAATTTAACGTCAGGTTACATGATTTAAGATCCTAACAAATACAAGGTTCTCAAAGAATGCTGCCTTATAAAAAGGAAGTTATGTGGTAAGTGCCAATTCAAATTGATTTGTAGTGGCTGCCTTGTCAAGGATTAAAGTCTTTTTATTGCGTAATTATAACCGAGCATTTGCCACAGGCCCCAGAAGATCATGATACTACATATTTGCCATCTCTGCCATATAAGATATACTTTGGAAAATTACAAACTATACAAGAGAAAATTAATGTTACATATTAATAAGCCATGTTGAATTGAATTGGTCATGCCTTTAAGAAATTAATATGCAGCTATCTGCAGAAGTTAAGAATAACTGCAGTTTGTTGAGGATTTATGTGCTAGGCACTGTACTAGGTGCTTAACAAACTATCTCATTTATTAAAACAACTTGCACGATTTGTGTTTTTATCTTCATTTCACAGTAAAGAAACAAGGTTTGAGAGGTTGGACAAGTTGGCTGAGAGCACACAGTGAGTAATTAAACAAACACAAAAGTTCTTCCCAAAATACAAACTACCCAGTTTCTTTATGAATGAGAAAGCAGGACAGTAAGAAAAATTTTCTTGCCTTTGGACAGAATTTAGCCAGCAATCTGCCACCTCACTACACTATAATTCATCAGAAAATGTGTATTATTAACAATTCCTATAAACAACTCCTCTTAATATCATATATTTCCTTATCTTTCCATCACCCTAAAAGTAGAACTCATTAAGGAAATTGCTGAGGCATTTGCAGCCCAAAAATAAGCTGTAAGCACCTTGCTTAGGATCCATAACCGGGTAGGTGTAAAATTAGAAAAGATGAATTTCTCCCAAAACTTGCAAAAGAATGGAGTTTTCTTATGTTCATTACACATTTTAAATTGCAAATCTTTTTATTTCAAAACTCTCAACAATTACTTGGCTCCTATATCCAAAATATGCCAAATTCAATAAGCCTATTATACTATAATCATAATTTATAGTATTCTAATGTATTTACTATAAAAAAGAATCAAGCCATACAAGTGTCAGGAGATAATATAGGTCGATATATGACCTTGAGTTGGGGAAGGAGAAGAACTTTGTGAGAATGACATCAAGAGAAAAATTTAAAAAAAAAAAGAGCAAAACAAAAACTGGGCAGATAAAACTATAAAAAGTAATTAAAGTAATACTGAAGAACAGTATATATAAAATCAAAAGGCAGTATTAATTCAAGGATCCCATCATACTCTCTAGGGCCTTGAGATTACAACACATATTTTCAGCTTATCAGAGTAACTGATAAATGAATTTTCAAAAGAACGGATGGCTAATAAACAAATGGGAATGAACTGGAGTAGAAAATATTTGATTAACCCAAAAGAAGGCAAGAAAGTAGAAAAAAGGGTCAAAGAATGGATGAAATACATGGAAAACAAATGAGATGGTGATTTAAACCCAAACACTCCCCTTCCTCAATCCTGAATAATTTAGTCTAAAAGCCACTAGGTAAGGCCAAGCAAGGTAAGTCTTTCAGGCAGGGAGCGATAGTAACAGCAGAAGGGCCCAGCACGGAGTGCCCAAGCCCAAACACAGTAAGCAAAGTTTTAGGGTTGGAGATGACAGCAAAGAATGGGGTATCAATGCCAGTATGAAGTAAGGAGTGCATCTGCACAGGGTTAGCAGGGACAGAAGAATTGTTTGATTGGTCAGTAGAAGCCACTGTAGGAGAAGGGAGTTACAAATACGAAAAGGGAGAAAAAAGGAACGAACCTAGTAGTGCTGCAATGGTCTTGGAGTTATTGATGGGAACAACAGAATAAGATAAAATGATGAAAGAAGGAAGGACAAAAATGTGTGTGTGTATAGCTCTATCCCGAGGCACTCTGGGACCATCAACACACCAAAAGCACACTGTGGTGCAACCAATCGCTTTCATATTGCCTTTCTAGCCATGGTCTTGTAACTCCCACAAATTGATTGCTGGGCCACAATCTGGCAAGGAATTGGTTGATTTACTATGCAAATAGGGGCTTGAAAATACAGCCAATAGGACTGAGGCCCTTGCACTCCAGCAAGGAGACTGGTCAGTTCTGCCATCCTGCTAGATTTATATAAGGGCAAAAGCCCACATAGGTTCAGGGGGACCTCACTACCATTAAGAGGAGTCTAGACTGAAGCGTGTCCTTTGAACCTGTAGTTCCTGCACTGAGAACCTCCCAGACCCAGAAGAGAGAGCTATAACACTGAAAATGGTCAGCCCATGGAGAGAGACAGTAGTGGTGAGCTGGTAGGCCCACAGAGAGATACAGCAGCTGTGAGCTTGTTGGCCCAGAGAGAGAGCAGGGCACCTCCGTGCAGGAGGTCTGCCTGCTGTTAAAGAGCTATAACACTGGCCCATGCGGGACAGAGGCCTGAGTGTGCCCCATCCAACATGCGCCCACCCTGCCAGCAGTGTGGTGGGAACCACGTGGGCCCTCAGGCAGTTATCCTGACAGCATAAGGAAACCACGCGGGCCTGGGTAGTATGGTAGGAACCAGCAGCAATGGCCTAGAAAGGCCCAGTAGCAGAGGCTGGGGAGATCCTGTGCAGGGGTCTTCCCGGCAGTAAGGCAAAGCCCAATGAGGCCCAATGGCAGAGCAGAAGGCTTGGGAGCCGTGCAGGTCCCCCCGCTAGCATGGTGGTAGCCAGAGGCAATGGTGATACAAACATAGTATCTGACCTGAACCATGATATACTGGCCCAGCAACAGAAGAATGGACATGAGTAATTTGGGGAAGTTCCACTTTGAGAATTCATTGTTATTGTTTACTGTTTGCTTTCTATAAATAATAATGGCTTTCACTTTGCCAACACTGTGTTAAGTATCTCATGTGTCCAGCTCGATCACAGATGAATGTAGTACACCCCTGGAATGGCTGATGTGAGTGGGTGTATGTGCCTCATTTCTAGCAGTCTTACAGTTGCCTGGAAATTGGAGGCATGTGCAATGCAGACAGACATACCAATCACACACAATGTCCAAACCCTAATTCCTAAGCGCCATTCTCCACTAAACTAAAAGTAATCAGGGCTCATTGGAGAAATGGCTGATTAAAGGACTGCAATAGGGAAAATACAAAATGAACCCAGAACATTCATTATACCAGAAAGTAAGGAAGTGCTCAAAGAATGACGGGGATACGTCAAAAAGAATGGCGCAAACTTAAAGGGGCTCTCACCAAGTCTAGGACAAAAGGAGCATCAAAATAAATAATAACAGATTATAACACAATGAATAAAATAGGAATCTATGAGTCCATGCTCATATAAGTAAAAAAATGGGTAGAAGAGAACATTTTTTCCTACAATAAAATGCCAGCTAGTAAATATAGAAGGAATGACTGAATTAGAAAATCACTATTATCACACCAGTAATAACTGATTCAGGCATAAATCATCAATGGATACTAAACTGGTAGGTGAAAATCAGATGAGGAATAGTTTATTAATATAATCTCCAAGTATCTCTCCACAAAATAATTAATTACAAATACTTATTAACTAACTTTTCAATGGAGGAACCTGAAAGACAATATTTCAACCAAGTGATGAAAGTTAACATTAACCACTAACGGGACAAGTAAATACTGTATCCTCCTAATATGATGCAATAAGAACTAGCATCACTTCTGTGGTATTCTTGCCAACATATAACCTGAATCTTATCAAAAGGCAACATCAGCCAACCCAAACTGAGGGACATTTCTACAAAGTAACTAGCCTGTAGACTTTTTTCCCCCCTAACCTGTACTCTTGAAAAATCTCAAAGTTAGTAAAGACAACAAAAGATCATGGGACTGTTTCAAATTGAAAGAGACTAAAGAGGCACAACAGCTAAACATAGCGCATGATCCTGGACGGATCCTGGCCCTATAAAAGACATTACTGAGACAACTGGGGCCATTTGGATGGGTCTGTGGATTAGATGGTAATATTGTACCAATGTTAAATTTCCTAATTTTGATGGACACACTGTAGTTACACAGGAGACTATACTTGTATTAAGGGGTAGTGAGGCATCATATCTGCAATTTACTCTCAAATGGTTCAGAAAAAACATTAGTAATATGAAGAGCATGTGTGTGTATGTTATAAAAAGCATACCGAAAGGTCAAGTGAGGTATAATGTAAACAAATGGGTAACCTAGGTAAAGCATACATGTATATGGAAGCTCTCTGTAATATTTTGGCAACTTTCCTATAAGTTTGACATTACTGCAAAATAAAGTTTTAAAAAAAGCAAAATCAACAATCTTTTGCAACTTAAATGCAAACTCTATCAGTAAGATGAAAAAACATATGGTAATGATTTCTAAGGATTACCTGGGAAGGGAGAAATAATAGGAATGAAATACAGCACCTGGTGTTTACGACACTGTGAGGCAAATTCCACTAGAATCTTCACTTGTTACTACTAGGAATATAATCAGGAAAAGAAAGAAAAAGAAAAAGCTTTAATAGACCATTTTCAAATTGTTTCTCTTGGTTGGTTCAATCAGCGTCTCATGTCTTCTCTCTGTTGGAATTCCCACAGATGTGGTAGTAAATCTTAGGCATATAGATGTCTAGGTATTAGGCTTTGTTTTGAAATACTTAATTGTATTTTTCTAACAAAATTAGAAAATAATTATTTGATAAACATGGAAGAATACTTTTCTTTCCTTCTAAATAAAAAAGCACCTTTCTTACCTTCAACCCTTGACTCCAAGTGCTTATCCAACTCTGAATCTTTTTTCATCGCTTCATCTGAGACCTTGGGGGCATTTGAAAAGCAAACTAGCACAATACTCATGTTATCTCGACTTCCCTGTATATTAAAGAAGGAAAATGAAAAAATTATATTTTATATTCTACCAGCTTTCTATTATTTCTAAAGAGTTAATTACTTTAAGCATTATAGTGTATTTAATCACCTAAAATGTACACATTCAACACAATTTGTATTCCAAAGAATTATTCTAAGCACAATCTGAAGAACAAAGTCTCTAGGTATGGGAAGATCTATATTTTTGGATTTTCTATTCTGCATGGCTATTCTGCTTATCCATCACTATTACAAAGTCTGAAAAATGAAGATAGCTTCACAGGTATTACACCTCCTAAGTGTTTCCCACTCAAAATCTTATTACCATAAGCCCAACACTTATCCTCCCAAACACATGCGAATTTTTTCCACCTAATCAACTAGTATCAGAACAATGCCATTACAACTCTACTGAATTTTAGACACAGCTGTAAAATGTAGATCAGCATAATACCCAAGCAGTTAAACTGAACAACTATAAGCAAAGAAGAAAATAGTTCAATTTGAAGCTCTTCTGTGGATACAGCATCAAACAGTGCAATGTAACTTAGGTGGCTGAGATACAACTGTAGTCAGATGTGATAACTTTTAAAGAAAAGACCTAAGATTGTTCTACAAAAATCACAAACAGTTTCAGGGTCTTTAGAGAACAATTAAAAAAGCTAATTTTTAAGGATATATTTTACTGCTGTCTCTTAAATCACATCCTCATAAATGATCTATAATAAAAAGGAAGCACAGTGTATTCTCTATTACCATGAGACTATTAACAATAAATTAAAAACATCTTACTTTTTCTATAGGCATATTACTTTAAGTTTCTAAGAACAGTGATTTTTTTCCCTCCAAACATTTTTTTTTTTCTGTTTACTACCCCCCATAACTGTGTCAATGAGGAGGGCAGGCTATTTTGTCTGACAGTGGGGTTTGCCAACGCAAGTCGAAGAAGCCAAGGACACACCCAGTCATTTCGGCCTAATCTAGACAAACTTGGTTCAAACTTGCCACCTTTCCAGAACCCACATTAAACAATTCCAGTTAACATTCCAGTATGCAGCCAAAAGGACAGGCAGGCCTTGGAGAACTTCTGCCACCATCTCCTAACTCAATGGAGCAAAGTTCGAAAGCAGTAGAGGTTGAGTCTAAGATGGCTTCCAAAGAAGTAACTCTCTCCACAGGCTATAGTGTTTTGATAGGAAGAACTGTCATGTGTCTATAACCAGATTCTCAATATCTGGAAAATCAGGATTTCCAAATTGGGCCAAACTAATCTCATTCTTTCATGAAACCCACTAAAACTTCCATAATGCCTTAATATTAAAAATAATGTATTTAGTTGTATGAACACGTATACTTTTGAACAGCAAAAAAGGATTCAGGAATCAGGCATTTACCATATAAGTTCAGGTCAAACAAAAATTTAAAACTGTACCATGGATCTTATTTAAGAATCAAGTATTAACTATAATACTAATGATTTTTTAAGAAGCAATTTCATGAATAAGCAGAATTAACACCTTACATTTTTAGAAATCTTAGTTTCTTCTAACTATTTTCTATTTTGGGAACAAGAGCATGAAAACTTTAACAATTATATATATATAAAATGTCCATTAGATGTTATAAGTTATAAAATACAGATCCTACCAGTTGGAAAATAAACAAACCAAAAGATAGTTTCAAGAAGTTTACCCTGCCTTCCCAAGATATCTAAAGTATAAATAATTCACATTTACATCTTAACATGTGTGATTTCAATGATTCACCTTCAATTCTATATAAAGATGATTTTCTTCAAACACAAAGTATGAAGATGCTTTAAAAAGGTCCTCCCCTTTATGAATATGGTTTTCTAGAAACAAATCATTCTTGCATGATGAGTATATACACTTTTCATTAAGCCCAGAGAATTACATGAAACATGTTTAAAAAAAAAAAAAACACATCTTGGACAACTAAAACAATTAGTCAAATATTTAAAGACTGGCTATTCTAATACTTTTTTTTACCTTTTTAATTTTGACACTAGCATAGCAGTAAAATTCTAAGGAATTAGAGCATTAATAGATAGGTTAAAGTAGCCAGTGCCACAGGATCAAGTCTTAACATACATAGTAGGTTGTGAGCACAATCATTATAACTGCCAGGGTTAGTAAAACCTGCTGTTGGTGAGTAGATTCCAACTCATAGCAATCCTATAGGACAGAGCAGAACTGCCCCATAGGGATTCCAAGGAGCGCCTGGTAGATGTGAACTGCCAATTTTTTGGTTAGCAGCCATAGCTCTTAACCACTACACCACCAGGGTTTAGGTAAAACAGTATCTGTTAAGTGAACCATCAATAATATTCCTCATTTTTCTAAGTCAATTTTTTTTTTAAACACTTTACCTGACACGCACTATGATTATCAAAGAAACAGCCAAGGTAAAGAACAGACCGAAGTTTCACCTATCCATGAAAAGGTGAAGCCTATGATTACTTCTTTTCAAGAATATTCACTTCTCTCATCATTACCTTATTCTTTCAATCTCTACTTCCTCTATACAAATTTACCTCTTCATTTCATAACCACCATCAATAGTACTAAAATTTACTGAGGTCTGTAAATCAGATACTGCTCAAGTACTCTCCACCAAGAGCTTTATTTACTCTCAACAATCCCATGGGAAGATATTATCATCCCTATTTTATAAACATAAAGAAACTGAGGCTTTGCCCAAATTCATACTAAGTGGCATACCAAAACTTAAAACTCAGTTTTCTGGCTCCAAAGCCTATGTTCTTAACACTAAACCCATGGTTCCCAAAGAATGCACCAAGAAGCTCCAGGATACCAAAGCATACTCCCAGGAGCATGGCGGGATATTTTAAATGGGGGGAAACACAGAGATACTCAATGTCTGTGGATACTCCACAAACTAGCTCAAGGTAGCTCACAGATTCAACATTAAATAATGCTACATTCCTCTCAATGATACATCTTTGCAAAGCTGGGGCTTTGGGGGTCGCAGTGATAAAAAGCAAGTTCCCACAGAAATCACTGTGAAACAGGAAATGAGGGTGGTGAAGTCCAATGACTCCAAGGTTTGAGTATGTATGTAATGCCCAACAGATGCACATATCCCATTAATAACTGATTTTTTAAAAGAATGAATAAAAATGTATTTTTTCGGCAATGTATACGTGTTATTTTGTTGGGATATACATACTTATTAACTTGTTTGGATCTACTTAATAATTGGAACTGTTATGTATTAATTTTGGTCAAGTAGTGCTGTGAAACATCTACTGAGACTAGCGGCACTATGACCCAGGAAAGTTTGGGAACCTCTGCATTATACTACACTGCCTTATAATCAGTCCTTCTCTTGCACACCTCAAAATACTTGGAAAATGTCCCACCCTATGTCTGCTTTTGCATTACTTAAGATTACATTTTCTGAACACTACATTGGAAAGTACCTAACTTCAGAGCTAAACAATTATTTTGAGGGGTATACAAGCACATTTTCCATGCTGTATCAAAAATCTGAATTGATACTGTCTTTGGAAAATAAATCATTATTTTCCCTCAGTTTTAACCTATCGAGTATTCGCTTATGTTCTAACATAAACTTCTGACAGGTGGTATATAAACTGACTTCAGGGAAATCAGCATTTTAAAAGAATACTTTAAAGGAATATTGACTTATGATTTAAGAAAAACAAAGCAGCAAAGTAACATGCACAGTATTTATCCATTTCTGTAAAGAGCAAGCAAAGAAAAAAAGCCTTGAAAAGAAAGAAAACTCTATTTTTATGCTTATATTTATTGAATAAACATGGAGAAACATCTGGAAGTTTACAGAGCGGACTGTTAATAGCGATTATCTAAGTGGCATGAGACTGGAAATGAGGAACATAAAGATTAACAACTTCAAACATCTTTGTATTTGTTACAAAAAATATTAATTTTTTTTTTAAGTCTTATGTTTCCCTTGGGGGGGAAAAAAAATTCAGACTGAAAGAAAAAAAAAAAAAAGAAAGAAATTCTTTAGCAAACTCTTCTGGGAAACTGGTAACAAAAATACCAAATCTGAGTCAGAAAACTTTGATTCTAGTCTCAGCTTCAACACTCACTAAGTTCATAACTTAGGGCTATCTTTTAATGCCCAACACCCTCTATTTCCTTACTTGCAAATTAGAAATATATATTTAATTTTCTTCATCTCAGGTTACTATAAGTTTTGAAAAAAAAATGAGTGTGATTTATAAGCTATGAAGGGCTATGCAAATATCAGTTACATATCTATACAACCTTAAATTAGCTGGCATTAAACACCATGAATTAGCATAAAATAAGAAAGCTGCTTTCTTAGGGACCATTCTCCCCTAGAGTTAAATATCTAATTTAAATAGGACGATATCTGACCAGAGTCACCCATACTTATAGCTTAATATTGTTAAACTGCATATCTGAAAAATGATTATCATCAACAATAATGATGCTAACTACACCTCCTATGGTTGTTGTGAAAATTAAATGAGTTCAAATATGCGTAAAGTGCTTAGAACAGCCTCTGGCTCATAGAAAGCATTAACTTATCAATACTATTGCGGTTATGATTATGATGATTACCACAACCTACCAAGAGTTCATAAACTAACCAATCAAAGTGCTTTGTAAACTGTTAAGGCTTGACAAGTGTTAGAAGTGTTAGAAAACATTAAGACTTCATTTAAATCTTTTATCAGAAAACATCTACTTAATGACTGGATCTTATCTTTCCTCTTAAAACAGTTAACACCTACTGAGCAATTGCTACATGTCAAGCACTGGGCTAAATGCTTTACATGGATTTTTAAAGTTGTATTCAATCTTTCAGACTGAATTCAAATTAATTACATTCTATTTTAAATACACGGTTTGTAATATTGCTATCCCTTGATCTTACAATACCAACAACCGAAATGACAAAATTATGGTGTTGAAAAAACACAAATGGAAAGGTTTAATTCCATAAGTAACTTTCAATGATTCATGTGCCCCAACCTCTTGTCCCTGACACTATCATTCCTCATTTCAGAGATCTAAAATCTTTTAACACCATTAACAGTGAATATTTAATCACCTTAAACTGATAAAAGCTATCCAGTGAAGATATATCACCAGAATCATTTAAAGACTATTCAGAGAGGTGGGGTCAAAATTCCTGAAAACTAACACACTTGTCCACTTTACAAACTTCTTTCCTTACTCCAAATTACAGACCTAAGAGACTTTTGGCTATTCCCTCAAAACTATTGTTAGCGCCCATCGAGTCAAGCCAGACTCATGGCGACCCCCTGAACATCAGAATGAAAAGCTGCCAAGTCCTGCACCATCTCCATGATCAGTTGCGGATCTGACTGTAGTGATACCTAGGGTTTTCACTGGTTGATTTTCAGAAGTAGTTTGCCAGACTTTTCTTCCTAGTCTGTCTTAGTCTGGAAGCTCTGCTGAAACCTATTCAGCATCACAACAAAATGCAATCCCCTTCATTGACAGACAGGTGGTGGCTGTGCATGGGGTACATCAGCCAGGAATCGAACCTTGGTCTACCATGTGCAAGGCAAGAATTCTACCACTGAGTCACCAATGCCCACATCCCTTAAAACTAAATGTCATTAATTCAATAGAATTCAATGCAGCCATGAAAAGTTATGTAGATCAATACTTATAGACATCTCACTACAAAATACTGCTGGATGAAAAAAGCTGGTTGCAGAATAACAAGTACAATGGCAGATAAAAAGACTGGAAAGATACACACCAAAACAATGAAAGCCAATTTGAGGGGATAGCATAATTTTGAGTGTTTCTTTATATTTTTTGTATTTTTTTCAATAACAAGTATATATTGTTATAATGCAAGGGAGAAAAATGTTTTCATTTGGTAGTCAGGCAAAAAAAACCTATGCCTGCTTTCATCTCAAAAAGCTGCTGGTCAGAATCATTCTATTTAGAGTCCAAGGAGAAAGAAATTTCTAGTACCACTTGCAATTAGATCACTGACAACCATCAGTACCTTCCTTATTTAACTCATCCTGAGAAGTAAAAGGATACAGTATTCTTAAAAAAACAAATCAGAGGAGCCAGAGGTACCATCATAAGAACCTTTCAGAAAAAAAGCTGTTCACTGGTAACACCAGCCCTTAAATTGGTCTATTTGAAGCTCTCTCTTTGCAATCTATGAAGAAGTACATACTTCATCAAAATCTAGACATTTGCATAGACCCAAAGATCCTCCTGGTGGCACAGTGGTTAAGAGCTTGGCTGCTAACCAAAGGTAGGTAGTTTGAATCCACCAGACGCTCCTTGGAAACCTTGTGGAGCAGTTCTACTCTGTCCTATAGGGTTGCCATGAGTTGGAATCAACTCGATGGCAACAGGTTTTTTTTTAATCCTTTTTGAGAAACATTTTTGGCTATGCCTGTAGCTTCACTAGTAACTTACCTGATGGGGAAACAAAATGGTTCTCCATTTAGACAGAATAGGTAAGTCAGATGGGGAAACAGAATGGTTCTCCATGTAGACAGAATAGGTAAGTCAGACTATTTCACATGGCAAAAGGTCAGTTTTGTCTTGGTATCTTTTCAACTAGAGCCATAAAATACCTGAACACTCCAGGCACTGGCCAGATAACTCAAATTTTTTAATTGACTGCTACATAGTAGGTGCTGTCGAAAAATCCACTTGAAACAAAGGAATATTTTAAACACATAAAAAGGAATTGCAAATTACCTGTTCCTCTGGATTTTTTTTTTTTCTATCACTGTATCAAGTTAAGACTCATAGAAAATTCAGTGTTCCACAGGAATTTTTAACAATATTGCATTTTATATAAGCCCTTGGGTTGTTAATCAATGATTAAAAAAAAATCTATAGGAAAAGAATTTTTGTATCTTCTACAAAAGTACTATATATTACTCACCATATCATATAATATCACTTACATAGAGAGTCACACGTAAATTTCTTTTACATTTTATTACCAGGAAAAAGTTCTTTCGTGAGACAATGAGAAACATACAACTCAAACTTTTATTTTTGGTTTCTGTCTTGGCTGCTAGGAAGCTTAGAACTAAATTACAAAACTACACTTAGCCTAGGTTTCTGGCATATCTTCCAATATTTTATGTGGCTATTGATCTTTTAGTATATCTAGTACAGAATTCTATCATAATACATATTTTATCAAACCGCTTCCTAACAGGCACGAGAAGGCTATTGCCAATGTCGAGAATTTAAATCAAAAGCCAAACTTCTGAATAGCAACAAACCATAAAGTACTTAAGTGATAACAAACGCTGCAAATTCATTAAACTGAATTTTCAAATAGAAGGTTTGGGGGAATGGGGATGGCAGAAAATAGTGGTACCAATTCTGGTGAAGAAAATAAAATATACAGGTCTTCCCTAATTAAACTCTAAAATTCTTTTTAAATTTGTGTTTATTTTTACTTACCCATACTTTTCAAAATTAATAGGGCATTTTAATTATAACAAAAAAATTTACATACCTTATGTAAACAAGTGTCCACTACCCAATTGCACACATTTTCCAGGTCATCAGATACCTCAAGCCTAGATTTAACAAATTCACAGAGCTCCTCATTACTCATAACATCCCAGATCCCATCACAAGCCAAGATGATAAATTCATCCTCTTCTGCTCTTAAAATTTCATAAACCTCTGGCTCTGGAGAAACAAGTTGTTCTGTTGGGCCCTTGCCATCAACACACTTGTAATCATAGTCCCCCAGCGCACGAGACACTGCTAATGAACCATTAACACGTTGTATCATTACACTGCCTCCTGCATTTTGGATTCGCTCCTTCTCCCTTGGATTGCAAGGTTTGTGATCCTGGGTAGAAAAGCAGACTTGTCCATTCCTATACAGCACAGCACGTGAATCACCACAGTTGATAAAGTAAATATGTTTAGGAGAAATCATAACTCCCACTGCAGTTGAACCACTCCTGTCCATCCCATTTCTGAGGTCTGAAAAGTTACGCATGTATTCATCAATTTTCAAAAAGCCAGTTCTGATACCATTCTTGACATTTTCCACTGAAGGCTCAAGAGCAGATCCTGATTTTCCAGCTGCCCTAAAGTCTTCATTATTAGTGATGTGTTCTAATAAATGCGTGGAGCAGTAATTTGCCACTCGGGATCCAGCATGGCCATCATAAACTGCAAAAAATGACCAGTCTTCCAAGCCGTGAGGAATACCTACAACAGCTGTGTGTGCATCTTCCATTTCCACTCTCCATCCTTGCATACTGCTCAGGCCATAACGTAAACCATTCCCAGCACCATGAGCATTATGTTTCTCAGTTTTGGGCTTATCCAAAAATGCACCCATATTTAGTAATGAATCTGAAAAGAAAAAAAATTGTAGCTGTTAAATGTTTAACTTTGATACAATATGTATCTACAATATTCCACCTACTCTCTAGTAATTCCTATCTCAATTTATATTAACTCTTATTTATAGTCATATCCTGATTTATTGAAACCCAAAACACAAGAAATTTTCCCCATGCATCCTTCTTCTAGAATAAACCAAAAAAAAAACAAAGCCGTTGCCGTCGAGTTGACTCCAACTCATAGCGACCCTATAGGACAGAGAACCTCCCCAGAGAGTTTCCAAGGAGACCCGGTGGATTCAAACCACTGATCTTTTCATTAGCAGCCATAGCTCTTAACCACTATGCTGGTGGTTTCTTAATCCTAGCACCTCAGAATCACCAGACAATCAAATCAGAATCTCTAGGAGTGGAACACAGATATCAGTGGTTTTTTAAAAGCCCCTCTTTGATGATTCCAATGTGTAGCCAAGATTAACAACTACTACTCTAGGAGAAAGAAAAACCAAGATAATAAGTATAGGTATACCCAGAAGAGGTGCCAAAAAAAAAGCCTTGCATAGTTACAATTTTTTCAAAGGAAGAAACCAAGCTGAGATCTGAGAGAGTAGGAAAAGAAATTATGCAGCATATACGAAGAACTGGAAAAGAGTAAGGGCGCAGTTATATGAATCCACTTAATTTGATATGGCTGTTAATATGCATGTTTCGAGGGACAAAGCAGTAGTACTGAAATATATTCTAAGAATAACATTATCTCCTGCTGAGATGTCCCTTATCTACTTATCTTGGAATCATGGATTTGGGAACTCAACAATGTTTCACTCCCTTCTTGCCTGGGCAAGCATAACCTAAGAGTTAGCAAACCTAACTGAGGACAATTGTGCTTTTCCTTGAGAACAACAAATTTGGAAGAAGAGTTCTAGAGGCCCTAGGACTTAGACAGGTATTTACAGTCTACACTCTTCTCTAGAATAGGCCTTCATATAAAAAACTCTGATATCCTCGAGTTTGCTTTCAAGCTAACTCTGAAGAGGGAGTGATGGCAACTTTTACATATAAGTTAGAACACAGCTAAAAGGCACTTTAAGGGCCATTCAAATACTAAAATTGAAATTCTGCTGTAATGTTCAAAATAAGGTCAAATACATACAAAGGTACATATTCAAAAGATACTAACACCACCCACTACCAGACAATTAAAACATTTGCAAAACTGACTATAAAGCAGCATTTTGGGTTCCCTTATTTCTAAATCCCTCTTAAACTCACTCAATTTTTTAAAGGCTAAAGTAATTTTCATCTCCTCAGAAAATCATTTCTACTCTTTAGGACAAATGGATCCATATCACAGAGACTAAAAAGCAACTATGTTTTCTCTTTCCCCTGAAACATAGCTAGAGAACAGAACTTCATCTAAAGTTCTTGGTTGCTGGAGAACAAAAAAGGATAATCTCCAACTTAAAAAAGAAGAGAAAATACACACCAAGATTCAATGGATAAAATTCTTTATTCTTCCTAAAAACATTAAATATCGTGTATTCATTTAACACTGTGACTGTGATAGTAAATTCTCTTAAAAAGAACAAGAAAAATAACATGAAGCATTGTTTTAAAAAAAATTTCTTTTGTATTTAAATTTACAGTTCCAAGCCCCTTGCCTCGGTCGGCAAAGATTTGGCTGATTTATTCTCATCAATCACATTGTAAGCGGGGCATACTCACCATGAGACTGTCCTCAGTTTACAATGAAGCCCAACTATATTTCACGTTTATAAACTAAACTGACAGCACAGTAGAAAATACTCAATAGGTCATCACAGAATAGTTCGATATTTTTCAAAATAGCAAGTCACTTATACATATAAAAGTAAAAAAAAATTATTGTACCAAACATTTATAGTAACTGACTCTATTGTGACCCAAAATCAACAGAAGAACTACTTTTGTCTAGCAGGATTTGGACATTTATTTCTTTTTAAACTGTGCCCTCTCTCCTTACCTCTCTTCCAGCTCTGCAAAGTTACATCATATCCCTCCTGAAGAGCCAGGTTCAGGTCTTACCTTCTCCAGAAATCCTTTCCAGATGTTCTTCTAGTAAACGTCATTAACACTTACTTCTTTGCCATCCATTTAACATTTAGCACATACTACTCTGCACAATCAACGACCCTCTGACTATACCCTATATATCCCCAAACAGTAATTTATGTTCGTGTCCCTGCCAAAACAAGTACTGAATAAATTGTCTGATGATTAAAAAAAAAATTAGTTTGAGAGATATAGTTCAACAAAGAAACACTTCCATCCCCACTAAATGTGGTGTTTGCTATGTAGCCTTTACCATAAGGCCACACCCCTCTAGAGTTGGAGCAGAAGGAAAAGAACACTCCTCCTACCATACTGGAAAGAGAAAGGCCTCAGGCTAAAAACTGAACTCATCCCTCCGGTGTAGTGGAAGGACTTGGTTTTTTCAGGTCAAGACTTGGGGGAGGGGATTATCTAGGAATGAAATCTGGGTTAATGGATGCTAAAATGGTATCTACCACATGAAGGCAGTCCAGGAGCTATACTATATGAAGGAAGCTATGCTCAGAAGACAACGCGCACAAAGTAGATTATGTATTTGGTTACTATGCTTTACGTTTATTTCCCTTTGGATGTCCTCTACCGTTCAATAAAGTTTAGATGTTCTTACCTTGTCTCAAATATCTTAAGTCAAATTAAGGGGAAAAAGTCTCATGCCCATGTCTAGATAAGGTATCAAAGATAAAACTGAATACTCTCTGCCTCATTGAAGAAGGTACTGGAGAGCAGTGGGAATAAGGGGTAGAAATCTCCCAAAGGTGAGAGACAATGGCTTAAACAAACCTTGGCTTAAGCAAAAAAGCAACTTTTCATTCTGTGGTACATGGGATCATCATGAGTCAGAGTCAACTATTTATCTACCAACCTATGTACCTATCTCTCTATTATATACATTTTTTTCTCAGAGGGGATCAAAATAAATCAGATTCTCAAATGACTTAATAGCAAAAACAGATGAAAACCAGTCCACTTAAAGGCCCAGAATCATTTAAGTGTTACCTGATCCAAGCTTCCGTCTAAATAAGCTAAAATATTTAAAGATTAATCTGTGTAAACGAAAGACTGAACATAATAAGCATTTGTCTCTTATGTGTCTGAAAATCCCACAATGCTATGAAAAAAGGACTATTTAAATCCTCTTCAAAGATAAAAATGAGAGAGGAGACAACAGCAACTAAACTTTGGAGGCGAGAAAGCCAAAGAACCAATACAAACTGACTTTGTGGAATACTAAGTTGAATACTAAGCAAGTTGTGAGGAAAGCAAGAAGCAACCTAGCTTAAACTGTTAGACCACACCAAAGGCTCAGGTTTTAGTGGAACCTCTGGAAGTGGAAGCGAAACTGGGGCTAAATGCAGATTGAAAGTCTCTTTAAAAAGTACATGCCCTCTCCCTCAACTCACCTTGCCAATTCAGTTTAGCTAAATGAATGAATAAGGCAGACCGAAGAAGAACGATGTATTTGAACTATGGCGCTGGTGAAAAATACTGAATATACCATAGACTGCCAGAAGAACAGAAAATCTGTCTTGGAAGAAGTACAGCCAGAATGCTCCTTCCAAGCAACGATGACAAGACTTTAATCCTACGTACTTTGGACATTTATCAGGAGGGGACTAGTCCTTAGAGAAGGACATCGTGTTTGGTCGAGAATCAGAGAAAAAGAGGAAGACACTCAATGAGATGGACTGACACAGTGGCTCCAACAATGGGCTCAAACACAGCAAAGGCTGTGAGGATGGCGCAGGACTGAGCAGTGTTTCCTTCTGTTGTACTCAGGGTACTATGATTCGGAACCGACTGGACAGCACCTAACGAAAACAACAACAAATGAATGCTGCTCCTTTATCCCCTAAAGGCTTATTTTCTGAAGAAGGTAAAACAGGGCCCTCTGAACTGAGAACATCATGCAGAGATAAGGGCAAAAAGGTAGACTTAAAATACAGAATTAAGTGTAAGTTTACATACTTATTGTTACATATATTAGCCTTTTCAAGCAGTCAGCTCTCTAAATAATGGCAACCAGATTTATATCCTCTAATGAGCCCTGGTGGCCCAACGGTTAAGCACTAACCAGAAGGTTGGCAGTTTGAATCCATCCAATGGCTCCGCAGGAGAAAGACCTGGTGATCTGCTCCAGTAAAGATTACAGCCTAGAAAAACCATATGGGGCAGTTTTACTGTATTACGCGGGGTTGCTATGACTCAACAGCACCTAACAATAAGCAAAAGATGAGAAGAGTCGAGAGACTCTCACTAGGTCTAGATGAAAGATCTAAAGGTACTAACATTGAGATTGTCCAAAAAAAAAAAGGAGGCCAGCTAAATTACCCTGTAGTGAACCCACTGGCCAACAAATCCCACTGACAGGCACAGTGCTTCCATCAGCTATTTAATGCCCACTTTAAAATATAGGTGGGTAGTCCATGGTCAGACATACAATTTTCCTAATATGAGAGAGAGAAAAGGGCTTCTTGGAAGAGAAAGAGGAGAATTTTTAAGCGAAGAAGAAAGGAAGCAAGAGAAGTCCAGTTTTTTAATCCATTATATTAGAAGATATAATTAAAAGGAAAAAAACATTCAGAGGAACAAAACAGCCCCTGAAAAGTAAAAATATAATCACAGAAGAGAAAGCTGGGAAGACAAAAGTTGAAAGAAACTCCCAGATATTAAGAGTGCAAGACAGAGATGGTAAAAAAGGAGATGATCAGTACAGGAGTTTCAAAAGCCACAATACAGGGAGGAGTAAAGATAACATAGAAAGTTAGAGTGAACAAATAATTAAAAAAAAAAAAAAAAAAAACCTTAAAGAGAAGTCCCAAACTGAAGGCCTGAGTTTCAAGATTAAAAAGGTCCATCCTGTGTCAAGCATGATGAATGAAAACAGACATATACCAAAGCACATTATCAAAAATTTAAGAA